TTGTCTCAGGGATCCTTCAATTTTCCTTGTGTTCCCCAATATCCCATAGCTTCCAAACATTTACAGGGACTTAAACCTTTAATTAAGCACCTTTTAGACAATCATTTTATTAAACCTACCCATTCATCCAATAATACTCCTATTCTCCCGGTACTCAAGCCTGATGGGTCTTACCCTCTAATACAAGACCTTACGGTAATCAATAGTGCTGTTACCCCAATCCACCCAGTGGAGCCAAACCCTTATACCATGCTCTCTCATATCCTTCCCTCCACCACTCACTTTACAGTCCTAGATCTTTTTTTTTTAATTTTATTTAAAAGGAAAAAGAGAAAAACACAAAACAAAACAAAGCGGTGTAAGGGTACATGTAATACAGAACTACAAAAAAAAAACAGTAAGAAATCACCTGTTAATAGATTACATATTATCATCTTAGAAATAGTTGCTCAAATCACAGTATCAAAGAATACAAAGTGGACATTCAAACAGAGAGACTGCAAACAGCTGTGCTCAATGATCCAAAAACATTAATATAGTCAGCTACTTAACAGCCCTAAACACACTTGCTGTTATATCCGTTAGAGCTCTTTTTTTCCCCTCTCTTTTTTACAACAAAATTTACACATTTTGGATTTTATTACTCCTTAGTTCTTATTACTTTTTTGGGGGGGAGAGAATAAAGTCAAATATGGCAAAACAAAGCTGTCAGTCAAAACCAAGGATAGACATAGCACATGATGTAAAACAGAGTACAAGGTTATCAACAATGGTTATCAACGATGTCTCTTGTTTCCTTAAAAAGAATTGTCTATCTCATTAGATATTATAAAGTTCTACAATACAGTAGAGAACAAGACCAATAAAACTTAGGCATTGTAAACATTATAGGACTTCCAAAGGAGACAATAGTCAAACCAGAATGGGCATCTTAGTGAATCTTATTGCCTTCAAAGTAGTTGCCTATATCCTCAAATTTGATACTATCATACAGAATGGAACAGAGTCTAATCAGTCAAAACAAGATCATGGGAGTATTACAGGACTTCAAAACAAGTTAATAGGAAATCAAAAGGAGTTACTATTATATACCCTGCTAATTTTTTAAATTTTTCCCCTTAATTAAAACAAACATAAGAAATAACTAAATAATTTTTTTAAAGAATAAGGGAGAGATTGAGATAAAACAGGACATAACAATATAACAATACAGGTCAAAGCATGACTGTTTCAGCAATCTAGTGCTTCACCACCAAATAACCCGAACAGTCCTAGATCTTAAAAATGCCTTTTTATTCCTTTGTGTTTATGCAGATTGACCCAGACACTCTGAGGTCTTAACAGCTTACACCTGTTATCTCTAGTAAACCCTCTCCTCAGGGATGCATAGCACCCCCTTCCTTTTCTATTCATCAGTTTCTCAGACACAACCCTGGTCAAGACTGACAGATAAATTTTACACACATGCCTTGCCACAAAACTCTCAAATATCTTCTCACCTTTGTTTGTACTTTTCAGGATAAATAAAAGCCTTACCTACAACCAGACTGCTGATATACTTACTAAAGTCCTGTCATAGCAAATCATCCCGAGGACTACAACTAAGGTGAGTGGCTCATACCTAGTGTTCTTGGCAACCCCAACAGTGGTCAAAGTTGCTAGACTGCCATCCTGGTTTCACATCACTCAGGCTAAGCAGTGCTCTCCCAGCCCTAGATCTAACCATCCTTTTGCCCACTCATCTCTACCTCACCAAGGCCTCACAGCCACAACTCTCAGGCTAAGTCATGTTTTGTTGTCCAATTTGGTTCCTAATTTCTTACAGCTATTAATTATCCTTTTTACAGCAGAACTCTCAACAGTCTTTCTTAAAGACTCCCACATCATGCATACCAGAGACAAGTCTTACCTATCTACCCTCTTAACTTTTACCCTTTCAGCTGGGGGAATAATCACTTCTCATAACTTCACTCCTCCTAACCCCACACTTATTTTTCAGAATTCTACCTCATCATAGTAATGATTTTACATATCTAAATCAAAGGCACCTTTTCTTCTACCTCACCTGGGTCCTTAAATATGATAGTGGCCCACCTCCTCATAACACTTTGCCTCTTTGTTTTTCCAGTCTAACATGCAGGCATTCACCAATGATAAAGTTGTCCTGGCTAAAACACCTGGCACCAGCTTCTACATGGGCATCAACCATCATCCTGTTGACCTTCCTAAACCCCAATACAGCGCTCCCTTTCAGCAGGAAATAGTAAAAGAAAAAAAACTTCGCCCTTTTCCTAATAATAAAAAGATGAGACTGAAAGGATTTTTGCCCTGGATGGGATGCTCCAGCGGCAAAAGGCTGGGAGGCGGAACCAAGGGGCTCTATCTTGAGTTCATCTTCCCCACCCCTAGGCAATTTACCTATGGCACAAAATGAATTCCAATGGGCTACTTGTGCATCAGTAATGCCCCTTAGGCACCACCCCAAACCTAAGCTATATGTATGCTCCCACACCACATGTCCGGTAGAGAGAAAAGCCAGACTTCAGTGGTCGTGGGGTTCTCTCTCCGCATTCTTAAAATAAAGGCCACTTTTATTTTGTATTTCTATCTTTTTAGCCACACCAAAAATTCTACCAAAGAAACTACTTACAAGACTCTTATTTAGTATATGAAAACATATATATTCCCTACAGTCACTGTATACACTACACTACATACACATGCATTCCCACACATCCCATTGCTAATTTGACCTTATTCATGAGGCTCCTCCTAATCAATCTATCAATTCGAGAAATAAAGCCCTGACAAGGACAAACAGACCCACTAGGAATATACACATAGGCAATTGTGTGGGGGTCAGTGTCTTAGGGACTGGGATCCATCTACGAGTCTAGAGAACAAATCAGCTTGCTACAAGTTCCAGATATTAACCCAGTAGGGACAAATATGATGAAAGGAAGCTGAAAACAAAGACTCACTAGTATTCACTTCTCTGAAACTCACTATCAACATCTTCCTGGGTAGCTTTCTGTCCCCTGCCTGTCTTCTTTGTTACCAATAAAGTGTCTTCCTGCTTAAACTTGGTTCCTTTAATTAGTTACTGAGTTGCTGAGATTATGATCGGGATTCAGACACAACAATTAGTGTCTTAACACCTATAAAAATTTCAGTGCCGGTATTAGTGTCTCTCTTCATCACTGAGGCACAGTACCTAGCATTGCAACTTAAAGAAGGCAAGATATATGTTGGGTCACGGTTTGTAGAGGTTTCAGTCCCTTGTCAGTTGGCTCCAAGGCAAGACAGCATGTCACAGGGGGGGTGATGGAGGAAAAGATGCCTTGGCATGGGTACTAGAAGGAAACAGAGCCTGCCAGGTGATGCCCATAGTGACCCTGCTTTACAATCAGACTCCACCACCTCACAGCAAGTCAGTTACAACACTGCCTTAATCCGGTCAGTTACCAAAGGTCACATCCATGATTGAGTGAGACGTGGTGGGAGCAACTAGATACAAATTATGGCAATCCCCATAGAGAAAATTTTGCTGGAACACAACCATGCCCATTTGCACCTCATCTGCAACTGCTTTTGTGCTGCAAAGGCAGAACTGAGGTCTGAAAACAGAGATCAGATGATCTACAAAGTTGGGAATATTTTCTCTCCAGATGCTTACACAAAAAGTTTCCAGACCACTAATGTGGATGCTTGGATGTGAGGATTAGTAGACTGACTGTTAAGCAACAAAGCATGACTCTAGACAACAAAGCATTAGGAGTGGTGTGTTTAGGAGAGATGACTCCAAGGAAGGGAAGAGAACACAGCTCAGGCAAGGACAGGGAGGTGGCGCATGAAACAACCCCCTCAACAAGTAATGAGATTTCAAGATTTCACCTCTCATGTGAAGGGTATAATCCTTAAGACTTACTTTGGACTAGGTTGAGTTCTGGGCCCTGAAAGACACTATGTAAGTGGAACAGCAGAGCTTGGCAACTCTCTGGACAAGGGATCTGAGCACTTTATTAATTTTCAGGGGTGTCTGTAGCAGAGACTGTGCAGCTCAAATCACAGAAATGCCTTCTTTCACAATTCTGGGGGCTGGATACCTGGATCCTGGTGTAAGCAGGACTGATTTTCCTCTGAAGATACTGGAAAGGAACTACTGGACTATGGCAGCCTGACACAGATACTACCTATGTGGGTGTTTCTGGGCCCAAGTTGTCACTTTTCATAGGGATACATAGCCGTACTGAGCCAGGCCCCACTCTACTGCAGTATGACTTCCTTTTTTATTTACTGTATTATGACTGGTACCAGAAATCAAACTCAGGACCTCTCAATTTCCCAGCAGGTACTTGCTCCACTGAGCTATATTCCTGGCCACTCTAGCACATCTCAATAAGGTCACAGACTGGGGTACTGAAGGTTCGGGTTTTCATGTTTGGATTTTTGAAAGCATAACACAACCCATAATAAGTACCTGTCAGTGTGACATAGCATCTGGGGACTTTCTCCTATATCTACTTCTGCCCATAGGGTGCTGCCGTCGGGCTCTGGATCCGCCCACTACAGCCTTCAGCCAGCCCTCCCATGGGAGGAGGAATTGCTCTCTTAATGAGCCAGTTCCTGACCCTTTTGCACCTGACTGCTGTGCAGTGGGCCATTGTCACCGTGCTCCTGGACATAATCCCCCCTTGCCTGCCCAGGGTTTTTGCCCCTGTCCCTGTGGGGAGCCACCCCAAGGTCAGCCCACTGCAAACCCTCTGATCTGGCTCCATGTCCACACAGCTGCCTGGGAAAGGCAGGCCAGAGTACCCTCTGGGTGCAGCCACACCTGCTCTTCCTGACATAGATGGGTAGCGTGAGTTCTGTGATCAGGTGAAATCGCACTCAGATCTGACATGGTAGAGGAAACAAGTGGATTAGCAAAGTCTACAAACATGCAGAGGTTTAGAATTCATTGATACCAACAGCATCATCAGTGAGAAGCCATCATAAAAGACCTTTTTTCATCAAATTCACTTTATTATATTAATTTTGCACAGTAAAAGAATATGGGATGCAGACTTGTCTAAATTCTCTTACTGATTCTCTTGAAGACAATGTCACCCAGTGTCATGATCTGAAGGACAGAAAAGAAATCATGGAATAGTCACTTGACATGAAATAGTAAAAATAAATAATGAAGGCCCCCCACATAGCTGCAGATATGGTAATACAGGAAATTACTCCATGCCACTGGACAGAGTGGCATGCACATGCATTGCAACACTCCGGAGGCTGAAGCAGGAGGATGACCATGCATTTGAAGACAATCTGAGTGACATAGTGAGTTTAAGGCCAGAAAGTACTACCTACCATGATTTTGCCCAGAGAGAGAAAGAGACAGAGAGAGAGAGATTACCTCCAATGCTCCTCTGTTTCTCTGTTTTCTATAAAACCAGGTAAAGGACTAGAATTTTTTTTTTTACTGAAATATTATGCAAGTCTGTGTCACTCCACTAATTCTGTGCAGAGTTGCATTGCCATTTCTTTTCTACATCAAGTCCTATCAAAACAAAATCACTCAGACTTGATCAATCCAATTCAATCTTGCAGTTTTATTGAACACATGCTGTATATCAAAACCACACTGAGCACCCAGGACACATGTGCATGGAATAGCAAGCAGATGGCCTGGGACCTCATGGGCACTGCCCAATTTCCCTCCCAAAGCTGTGAGTAAAGCAGGCAAAAACCTGGGAACATCAGCTTTGGAGTCCCAGAAGGATGCTCCTTCCATCACTCCATCACTTGATTCTCTTAACAAATTTTTCTTTTTTTTTTTTTGGTACCAGGGATCAAAGTCACAACCTTGCACTTGCAAGGCAGGCACCTATGCTGCTGAGCTAAATCCTCAGCCTATCACCTGGTTCTCTTGAGCAACACAGCTGCAGTGACACAGCCTGTCATCAGTGTGACAAAGGAACCCCTTAGCCTCAGCAGCAATGAGGTGGCTGCTCAGGGCAAACAGGAGCCTTGGTTCTACCACTTGTCAGTCAGATAGATGACCTTGGATAGCTGACCTGACTACTGAAACTGTGGCCTTCTCCCTCACAGGAGACAGGAGGACGGGGCAAGATGGAGCTACCAAAGGGTGTTGGCCAGGTCTCATCCCGGACAGCTCATCTCCTGTCCCCTGTCCTGCTGGGAAGGCCCAGTGTGGGCACAGGGACTGCGCATTTCACGGTTGATGCTCACGGTGTCCCTGGCTGAGGGATGCTGACATGTGAACCTGGGGACCACAGCCTCCTGGGCTGGTTCTGCCTTCTGTGATTTACTAAAGCAAACTTTGGGAGTCAAGAAGAGCAAGGGGGACACAACTGCAGGAGAAATTCTGCAGACTGACTCTGAAACTAGGGATAGGATGTGAGGATTAGTAGACTGACTGTTAAGCAACAAAGCATGACTCTAGACAACAAAGCATTAGGAGTGGTGTGTTTAGGAGAGATGACTCCAAGGAAGGGAAGAGAACACAGCTCAGGCAAGGACAGGGAGGTGGCGCATGAAACAACCAAGCGCTGAGGACCCCTGCAGACCTGGAGTGCGACACTCACAGCGGCCGTGCATTTGCCACGAATGTGATCCTTATGATGCCAGATAGACACAGGCATTCGTTAGACCCCCGGGGCATGAAGGGCAGCCGGGGCCCTGTGGCCTGTTGGTTAGTGCCAAGGCAGAAGGAAGGGCTGTGGCCATTAATTGGGCGACAGCATAGAAGCAAGAAAGAGCCTGATGTTCTGGCCTAACACAGCCTCCCTGTGAGGGGCGCTGTGGCTGTGTCTGTCAGAAGAGGAGCTGTGAGCAGTGAGCCCGCAGGAGGGCACTGAATGGGTTCCTGCAGGTGCGATGGATTCAGCTCAATACTCTGAGCCTTGTCCTGCTGCAGACAGAACCCGTGAGCTGTGCTGGTCACTCTGCATGACCCTGTGCCTTTCCTGCCAAACCCTATATGGCATTAGGGAAGGGGAGGGGAGATGGGGTGGGCAGTGGGGAGGGAAAGAAGGAGGGGCTGGCAGGGAAGGACAGGCTGAGTGAGGTAGGGACACCAGTAGGGTTGACACCTGCTCACATGGTGGCTTTGGTGAGTTAGAAAAGGGTACTCCTTGAGCCAGGCATGGCGGTACATGCCTGTAATACCAGCATTTGGGAGGCTGAGGCAGGAGGATCGCTGTGAGTTCAAGACCTGCTTGGGCTACAAAGTGAGTTCAAGGCCAGCCTGAACTTCATAACAAGACCCTGTCTGAAAAAGACCAAAAAAGGAAAAGAAAGAAAGGAAGGAAAGAAGAAAAGAAAAGAGCGTCCCATCTTCAAGATCCTTCTCTTCTGTCCCACAGTAAGTGGTCCATGGTGCTGGCCTGTTTGGTCAGAACAGGATTGCTACAAAGCGGTGGACACGCATGGGAAAAGCACAGTGAACATTTACACTAAGCAGATGATTGTCAGCATAAAGCACCTTGGCCTGAATGCCTCGGGAGAACTTGCCCCATTCCTGCCACCTTCCGAAGCAGTTCGGGTGTCTTCTTTTGCTGTCTTTAGCGAAATGGTCATGACTGCTTGCGTGCCCCAAATGACTCCAAGAAGTTGGCCTTCATGCTCATTTCGAGTTTGGCCAAGAGCCAGAAGCCCCCGGGGCACGAGTGTCAATGAGCCAGTAGGATGAGCCCACAGCACTGCTCCAGGCCTGCACCCCCTGGCTGGCACTGGGCAGAAGTATTCATTGTATTTTTGCCGACACTGCACACAGATGCTCACAGAAGCAGCTTCCAGACCTGCTCCCGAAGATGGCAAGGCCCTGGGCTGAGTCTGTCTGAGGGGAGATGGAGCATCTGGAGGGGGGACCATGGCACTGTGTCTTCACTGCGATACATCTGTGAGAAGTGTGAACCTGCACCGTGATTGCAGGCCTCACCCTCTAACTGCAGAACCCACATAGTCTGTGGTGTGAGGCTGAGTCTGTTCCCTGGGAACAGCTTGGGTGGCAGCCCCGAGAGACCAGTCCATCTCAGAGGAACCTGGCCCTGCCATTCCATGACTGTTTTTGCCTCAGTTTCCCCTTTAGAAAAATGCAGTTGGGAAGCTTAGAGATGCTGTGTAAACTACCTGCTATGCAAGAAAGCTCAGGGAAATGGTGGAAGATATAGAAAGGTACAGAATTCGGGGCTCAGGGGATAAAGTTAGACTTGGGGTGAGGAGTGCAGCTGCCCCTCACCCTTCACCTCCTCCTCCCTCAGCACCCAGAGTCACTTATGCTGGTCAGGGTGTCCCCATTGATTTCAATCACGGTCTTGATGTTTTTCAAAGTTGTCACCAGCTTGTTGGCTCCTTCCATGGTAACCACTGCCTGTCGGGGACAGAGAGGCCTATAAGGCAGAGTCTGTGGAGAGCGAGACCCTCGCTAATGATTGGTTCCCCTGTGCAGGTGGCAGCTGATGACAGCAATCACTGTCTGGTCCCTGTGCTCCTGACCCTGCATGTTGGCAGAGGAGAGGAGCATGGAAGACAGATGGAAAACATCAGGACATCTCTGTCAGACTTCAGTTTATGCTGTGTGATCTAGAAAAGAGCACAGGACAGCCGAGCGGTCCCAGGACAAATGCTGGAACACAAGCACTGAGGTCTCAGCTCTCCAAGCCAGTGGAGGGAGGTGGCATCTGAATTCAGGGCCTGCACACATATTGCTCTGGTCTGTGTGGGTCCTCCGGGAACACCTGTCATCCCTGCTGTGCTCTCCTCTCCAGCCTGGGCCACCCAGGAGGAGGAAGCACAGAAACACGACCAGGAGCACAGGACCCTGCTGAGCTTGAAAATTCCCCTCCATGGACACTTGGAGAAGGCCCATGATAGAAACATGATGGCCTGTCCCTTCCCACAGACACAACCCAGGAAGTCCTGAAATGTGCTCCGGTCTTCAGTGTGACATCTACAGAGGAGAAATCAAGAGCTGTAGGGAGAGGTGGGGACAGCACGCTGAGCCCAGTGCACAGAGTCATCTGGGGAGCAGAGAAGGTGGCTGCTTAATGGTGCCAGCTGCCCTGGGATGTGTGGTGTGTCATGCGAGGAGCAGATACCCAGGTCCTGGCTTTCAGGCTATGAGGTCTCAGTTCTGTGGAGACGGAGCTGCTCTGCACCCTGCCACCAGGTTAGCAGGCTGTCTTCTCCCTCTGCACAGTAGAAGTAGCAAAGTCTATCAGTTTAGTGAGCACCCCGTGTTTTCGTCTGAGTTGACGCTGAGATTCTGGTGTTACCATCACCTCTTTAAGACATCTTTCCCTGTTACCAGCAGCACTGGGCTCAACTGAGGCCAACGTGATTTCACCTGGGTTTGGGCTTTCACTGACTCCTACTAACCCCATTGCTAGACCCTGTTCAGGAGACTTTGAAAGCCAGGAATCTGAAACTGAGAAAACCCAAGACTTGGAATTTTGCTTTTTGCCTGGTTCCCTCCCATACTGCATACAGGACAGTTTAGGCTTGAGATCCACAACCACAATACCGCCAGGAAGGCCCGAGGTAAATAAAAACAGCTTCCCTACAAGTTCTCTGCTTCTCCACCCAAGAGGTAGCTCAGAGGTGGGGTACTCAGAATGGGAGATGTGAGACCCAGGAAATATTCCAGAAGCAGAGGAAGGGCTCCTCTTACCTTGACCTTCTCCCCAGTCATGGTCTCCATCTCACACTCCTCCCCCACGGTGAACTCATTCATGATCACATTTGTCCCCATGCTGCTTTTGAGCTTGAAGTGCTTCCCGTTCTGCACGATTTCTGATGTCCCCTTGAGGTCCTTCCCCTTCTGGATGAGGTCGTCAGCCATCCCTGACGGAAACCATCTGAGGTTTAGGAACAGCAGGGCTGGGGTCACAAGTTTAAGGCAGACAAGAGAAACTGTGACATGGACAGGAGGAGGTGACAGGCACTGGGGAACTGTGAGCAGCAAAGGCTGTCACCTGGGATAGAGATGGAGAGCGGCCTGGCCTGGCTGCTGCAGCCTTGAGCCTTTCTTCCCTGTGGGCTTGCTCTCGCTCGCTCTCTCTCTCTCTCTCTCTCTCTCTCTCTCTCTCTCTCCTCTCCCTCACTCCTCCTCTGGCAGCTTTGCTATAAGATTTAAAACATGTCACCTTCCATGCTTAGGGGGACCAGAGAGTTTCTTCTCAAACCAGATCACTCCTCAAGTGACAGGAGGAGCTACTAATAACTAAGACAGGCCACCATGCTGAAAATGGGGCTCTACAAGGCAAACATGGACTCTGGGAGTCTCCTGAGATGTCCTGACAGCAGGAGTGATGCATCCTTTGCGCAGGTAAAGGAATAAAGACACAGACATTGTTGAGATCCCTACAGAGGGTGACCTCAGTCAGGCTTAGTGGCCACACCTGCAATCCCAGCATCAGGATGATGAGATGTGAGTCTTATGAGTTTGAGTCTAGAAATATCCAGGCCAGTTTGAACTCATATCAGGACCCCATCTCAAAAAAAAAAAAAAAAATCAGGAAGAGATCTAAGTGCTCAGGCATCTTGAAGGTCCCCTTCCCCTGCCCAGGCTGTTTCCTTCCTCTTCTGCCTCTCCTCTCCTGCCCTGACCACACTGCATGCAGCTTCTGCTCACAGGGCTCCCCCTACCTGAAACACTGTCCCCTCCCCAGTCCCCTAGGGGGCACCTGCTCATCTTCCCAGCCTCCCCTTCACCACCCCCCATTCCTCCCTCCACACCCCTGCCCTGTGGGAGACAGGGGGTTAAAGCCAGGTCCCTGGGAAGCAGCGCCTGCTTCCAGTCCCTTCCCAGACACTTCCCATCATGTGACCCAAGTTCAGGCCAGCTTACCTTTCTCAAGCTGGGTTGTAAAGTGGGAAAGTAATTGTACCCAACTCAGAGCTCTTGGTGAGGATTAAATGGGGCACTGCACAGGAAATGCTCAGCCCAGTGCCTGGTACAGAGCCACCCCTCCTACATGTTAGGGATATTGGTCGCCTTTATTTCCTGTCTTCTCTCCCTAAATGCTGACCATGGAAATGTGGCTCTTCGTCTGGCATCTTAGTGCTATGCATCCAGCAGAGCGCTTGATTGTGGCTGTCTTTGAATCAGCATTTATTTGTTAGGAGACTAAGTGAACGCACCCATGCGTGTATGAATGAGTGAACAGGACCTCACAGTGAAGTACCAGTGATGCTGGCTGTCGGCTTTGAGCCAGATCTCACCTAGTTAAACTCTCTTTCCATTTGCCTTGGGGTGCCCTTGTCCAGTAAGTGACAGCACATCCCATCCCAACATCTGACACTGATTTGCCACTGCCTGTGAGGTCAGGTCTTCATGGCAGTGACCCATGGCCTTGGTGGCCTGTGCAGCACTCACCCACTGCCTTCATGAAGGCCTCGAAGTTTTCCTGGCTCTGCAGTTGGTACTTGCCGGTGAAGCTCATGGTGGCAATGAGACTCCCTCTCCACAGCTAACCCAGCTCAGTAGGACGGGCTGCCCACTGGGCTTCTTACTCTCCAAATGCAAACCATAGGTCACGACTCTAGCTTTTTATAGCTAGGTTCAAACATTAACTCTCAAGGCAATGGTCAACAGTAGACAGCAAGGCCCAGCAGAGGTTTGCTCTAATTCAGTAAACATTCATGAATGGTTAACACGCAGAGTCCCAGGGCCCTCTGGCATTCAGGGTGACATCCTATCACTTTCATGAACAGTGTGTGTGCATCAGATGTGTGTGTGTGTGTGTGTGTGTGTGTGTGTGCAATATGCACCTAGAAAGTATGACCAAAATAGACAAAGTTTAAATTTTTTAGTCTATTAAATAAAGGACATATGGTCACTAACTCCCTTCAGAGTAGTCCCCCTCTCTAAAACACACTTGCTCTATCCTTCTCGCCTCTTCTTGAAGCAGGTCTGGAACTCTTCTTCTGTAAGAGGGTCTTCATGAAGTGTAACTTTAAAAAATACAGTGACTGCTGCTCCCAAATGGCAAAGCAGGCTCTTAAATCATTACAGTATGGCCTCATCCCCTTATTTACTGGGTCTGCTGTGATACAACATTTGGTTCTCCTTCCAAATGCCCATGGAAGGTAAGGGCTTTGAATCCACTCAAGACTTTGTAGCAACCATGGTTCTGCAACCAGAATCTCATGAAAGGAAACTTCTAGAACTGTTTCAGAAAGTGGCAAGAAAAAGTATGTTTGAAGCAAGAGTATTTTAAGGAAGATTAATGACAACGTGACTTTTACAATAATAAATTTTTAAAATGGCCAACATTCATCATATTTTTCAATCACACTTCATATGTATACTTACATGGACACATACATGTATTGTGTGCATAACTATGCATGCACATGCTAGTATGCACATGTGTGTATATTCACATGCTTTGTGCATGTATACATACACTTGCATATAAGTATGTGGACCTGTGGGTATATATTTATGTTTATATATAGATATGGATTGTGTATGTGTGTATAATATAAAGAAATGCCTTTGACCTCAAAACTTTGTCCTTTACATACCCGTGGGATCATTTCCTATCTTTATTATCGTTATACACAGACAGTATTTATAGAATTGTCATCACCCTCTAGTGCTGGCTACATTCAGGGACTTCCTCTCTGATGATGTGGGTGACTCCACAGCTCCAAGAAGCCTCTCTTTTGAGATGGGAAGGTCACACATGTCACAGGCAGTGCAGACCCCTTTGCCAGGTGTGTGGAAACTGAGGCACATTTTATTAGGCAGGGACAAAGTAAGGGAAAGAGACACAGCAGTGTCTGCTCACTTGCCCCTCCCTGCCGAGGAGGCAGGAACAGGGACTTGGGGTGACATGTGGGGAACCTGGCTTCATGGAACCCCTGTCTGGCACTGGCCTTGGGAAGACAGCATAGAAATGCTTCCAGTGACCTTGGGGTGCTGCTGTTTGTCATGAAGCACAGAGGTGATGGTACCCAGTGGGTCTGCAGCCCCACTCCTTGCCTCTGAGGCAGCCCTAGACAAGCACCCTCACCCTATTTCTCTCTCCCCTCTCCCTGGACCTTGGCATTGGCCTCTTCACTTGCAGCCTCCACTCTCCCATCCTCCAGGCCTCTGTGCTGTGGTTGCACAGACCGCCCTCCAGCCCAGCCTCAGCACATCGCTTCTCTGTGTATGAACAAGAAGGAGAGGAGGAGAAGGAGATGCTTAGGAATCTTGCAGCCTAAAACAGTGAAATAATCATCAAGTTAAATAATAGTGATAGACTCATTACCACCCCTACCCAACCCCATTTACTAAATACGTACTTATTTTGGGAAGTATACCTGTCCACACCCAGGTACACCATGCTGTCTCATGCACCAAGCTGACTGCCTGACGTCCAGCCTTAGACAAAGGGAGACCTGGCATGGAAACCTCACATTCCCACCTTCCCATGATCATAGCTTCCACACAGTGCAGCCTTCTGGGCTCCAAAGTGGGGAATGGGAAGCAGGAGGGTGAAAGTTTCTTCAAAGTGCAAGTCACCATCAATCCCAGAAGCCTCTGAGGAAGCCTGGATCAGATGCAACTAACCCTTGTCCTGCCTGAAGAAGAGCAGGACCTTTGAACTGGCTCATGCCAGGGCTCGTTCCTGGCCTACCCTGTTCTAAGCAGCACTGAGAACAGCACTGGGGATGCGCCTGGCTTATATGCTGGTCAAGGACCTGGGCCAGCAGATGAAAATGTGACCACTTCCCAGGAGGTGGACAGCCCAACAGAGAAGGACCAGGAAGTGGACCAGGCTGATGCATGGGAGTCAAGGATGCCCTCTCTCCCTGACTCCAGACACAGTCATTGATAGGTAACTGCCCGGGCCACTTGAGTCCAGATTTGTTTGTGTGTATGTGTATGTGTGATTGTGCGTGTGCGTGTGATTGTGCTTGTGCTTGTGTGTGTGCATGTGTGTGTGCGTGCATGCTGAGGCCACAGAAAGAAATAGTCATTTCAAAAATCAGTACGTGTGGGTAGTTGTCCTTAAAATTAGGCAGGGGCAATGACATCTCCCACCCACAGGGTGAGCAAACATAAGAAGAGATAAGTTGAATTGCAATTACAAAGTTCAAGTACCTTTGGAGGAAAAATAGAAAGATTCCAACATCACAGAGACAGCATTGGAGTTTGGTCACCCAAAGACTTGTTTCCATCCCGGTGCCCACTGGATGCCCCTCCCCTGCTGCCCAGTCAGAAGCCCAGGGTTCAGACACAGAGAGGCGTCTCTCAGCAGCCAGGAAATGCCAGTATTCACTTTCCAACAGGTGCCCGTCAAATAGGACCCGAGCGAGGCGCCCTTCCTTCCACTAGACCAGAGTCACAGAGGAGAGGGTTTGGAGCTGGAACCAGCACTTCTTTTTGGTTTTTATTTGTTATTTATCTATTTTCTATTTTAAAACTTTTTACTTCTCTCTCTTCTTCTCAGGTGCATTTGTTCTCATATTTTAACATGTGGACTAGGGATGCACCACACAGCTACCACTGTCGACTAGGTGACAGGAGTAATATGCTTGACCTTGCCTGGGCAGGCATAAACTTAGGCACATTCCTGAGGGAACAGCTTGGCAATGTTCCGTGGCACCAAAGGAAATGCCTCTTGTGCTTACCCCATTGCCACTGGCAGGTGCACCCACACTCTGGGAAATCCGGCTGGAAGTCACTCCGTCACCTCCCCTGCCTCCACCTACAGACCGGGCGTTTGCTCTGCCTGAGCAATCCTCTCTCCAAGATGAGGTATATGCACTGGCCTTCTCCAGCTCCTTGTCACAGTACCTTCTAAAACTTAGCAGGACACAAAAACCATCAAGTCACACTTGCAGACTGTAGATGGGGGAATAGTACTTAAGGCCCAACTGGAAAGACACAGTCTAGGGCCTGGAATTTTCCAAAGGCTCACAAGTGCCTTGCAGCAGGGCGGGAGAGACTTCAGTCAGACTTGGGGCTCCTTGGACTTCCCACACAGCAGCTCTAGTTCCAAACCAGTTCTTCTTTGCATCCTGGAGCCTCCCGGGCCCCCATTTCCTTATTTATTAAATGGTCATAATCTTTGCCTAGTGGAAAAAACTGCATAAACTGCGAGATCCTTCAAGAATGAAAAGTTTTTATCACAAAGGATGAGAGCGATCTGTGTTTGCATCCACGGGGTGTCCCAGAGACCAATGTTTTCAGGCCTACATGTCCTCCCCAGGCCTCATGCACTCATAGGTGCTGCTTTTCCAGAGCTGGTTAAATGTAGTACTGGAATTAAGGAATTAAGTACAGTACTAAATTAGTCCATGGATTGGTATTAGCATACTCTGGGTGTGGCTGAATGGATTTGCTCAAAACAGAAGCCCCACGTTGGGTGTGGGTGGCACCACCCAAAAGGCTTGTACCCTGCGTTGGATAAAAGGGAAAGGCAGGCTGGCTGCTGCTTCCTGCCTGTCTTGCTGTTTCTCTGCTGCCATGTTCCTGGATCATGCCACCCTGCCATGGAGCCAACCAACTATGGCAGGGAACCTCTGCAGACTGTGAGCTGAATAAATCTTTCCCCTTTTAGCTTTGCGTTTGGGTATTTTGTCCTAGCAACAAGATAAGTAACTAAGTCACTGTCATTTTAAATTTTATTTTATTTTATTTATTGTTTTTTGAGACAGGGTCTCACTATGCAGCTCAGGCTCAAGTGGCCTTGAGCTCACTTTGTAGCCCACGCTGGCCTCGAACTTGCATCAATCCTCCTGCTTCAGCCTCCCGAGTGCTGGGATTACAGATGTGCACCGCCACACCCAGCTTAAATTTTAATAAAATAATTTCTTATTATATAGAGAGCCATTCCATTCATTTATTGTTGATACAATTTTAGAAATAATTTTTATAAAACATTTAGTGTTTGATTGGGAATGAATCCATGCATGGTAACATGATTGCTACCAATACAGAGTTCTCATCCCCCCCCCATTCTAACTGATTTTGAGACATTTTTAAACTACATAAAATAAGACAAGATCTCCATATATCATAATTCTGGCCAATTTCTTCATAGATTTACTCGCAAGCTGTAAAGGAAATGACTATTTGTATAAAAGGCGGAAGCCTCTTAGGCTCCACCCACCTCCTCCCTCCCTCGGCCCCTCCCCCCCTTCACAGACCACCACTGTCCAGAGTTTGGCCTGCAGCCTTCCAATTAATTAAGGAAACATTTGCACACACATACACAGCCATTACCAATACACAGTGCTAAAATTTAATTCAAATTTATAAAAATGTGTTGTACCAAATGCATCCCTCAATACTTGTTAGATCTTCTCATTAATGTAGAGGTGTGAAGCTCATATTTTATACATATTTTTCCTATTTTTCATTAATAGAATTTAAGTTGTTTCCAATATCAAGCTACCACAAATCCAGCCCCAGTAAATCTCCTGAGCATGCACACTCACAAGTACAACTGCTGAGTATTTTCACATTTGTTACAAGGCACAGTTTCCTACTCCCCAGATCATAACCATTTTAGTATGCAGTCTTTCATATTTCTGTCTTCAGTCTTGTGGGTTTTATTTTTGTAAAAATTCATGGCCTT